GAACAATATAACCAGAGAATTCTCACACCAAAAAAAAAAAACTCCATTTTCTTATTTTGATTATCTGCTTTTAATCTGGAATAGCATCTCCTTATATTGTGACTTTGATTCTGATTTCTTCTTGTCTTGTTGGAGTATGAAGAAGATGAGAGGAGTGAATTCTACACATCAGAAATTGATTGGGGTGATGAGTCAAGCCAAGACTGTTGGGACGAAGGTGATGAATGAGACCAAAACAATTGGGGAGAAAAACCATAGCATAAAATCGTGGAGCCAAAACCCCCTGATCAGTTCGCAAGGAACTATGAAGGCTATGAAGAACAAGACCATGAAGGTGAATTATGGTGTGAAGAGACTGATTTTCAAATCAGTTTAAGAGATGAAATAAAACATGAAGCCATGGAACCAGGCCCACCATACCGCACCAACAACAGCAAAACCGAAGATTGGATCCACTTCAAAGATAGGTATGAAAGCGATGATTCTGAAGATGATAATCTGATATTTTTTTAAGGTAGAAATAGAGATTCCAAGACATACTACCGATGGGTGCAAGATGTTGAAGACTGGTTCTAGTGCAACAAAATTCCAGAGGAGGATAAGATGACACACGCCCTCAACACACTCACCGCGAAGGCATGGTGGCTCAACGAGGAAAAATGCCGAATCTATTTCAAGGAACCAGAATGGTTGTGGGAAGACCTAAGAAGATTCTTGTATGAGGAGTTTGTCTCAGGAGTTTTGATACCAAGAGCATGTCCACGAGGAGTCCAAATACGAATTTCCTCATAGAGAATGACAAAGTACAATCTTAAGCCCTACAAGAAACCATAACAAACATGCCCTACACAACAAATTCAACACTCATCAAGAAGCCCAAACCATCACAACAGCCTGAAACAAAAGGCATACAACCAAACACCAAGGAGAAGCAACAAACACTAAGTTTGAATCCTTTGCGTGGACTGGAAGCCACAACGAACCAAGGTACGTCTACTGTATTTAAAAACTCAAGTGAAATAACATTTTACAGGTGCAAGAACAAAGGACACATAGCCAAAAGTTGTCCAAGCAAGAAGGAGAAGATCAACACATCACTTGGAGAAGAAGATGCTAGTCGAAATTTTGCACCACAAGCAACTAAGCAAGAGAAGATCCAAACAGAAGTTAATGAGCCACGTAAAGAGGTCACAACCCTCAGCTCAAAGCAGGAGGATCTCATCCCAGAAGCCTTGAACAAAAAGCAAGAGTTAAACACAACTCAATCGCTTAATTTGCAAGAAGCACCCGAGAAAGAAGAGAATCAAGTAACAACTAAAAGAGATTTAATTCTTTCTGGAAATGATTGTTCCAATGCATTTTTAATACACTTGTCTTCCAGACGTGGTGAGAAAATTTCAGGGAACCTAGTAGATATCCGAGAAGAACCACCGCAAAGCATATTTGTAATATCGGATCAAAAGAAAGACAATGGAGAACCCATTTCAATCCTGCTCAAGACAAGCAACCAGCTGCCATAGAAAGGAGTAATTGAATCCATTTTGATCAAGGAAGAACCACCATATGCAAAAACACACCTTAAGCCCAGCCCCAACAAAGTTGATAACCGCGGTAAGGTTCTAAACCCTCAAGCGATTCAAAAATCTAACTTGACTTCTCTATATGCATATTCTTCAAATTTGAGGACAAAATTCAATCAAGGGAGAGGGTATGATGAGGTCATCAGACCA